TTTCCCTACCATTCCCCTCCACACTAGGAAAGCTTTGGCTGTTGGACTTCTCTGTGTCATGCATAGTAGCAAGGACAGAAAATATATGCAGTTCTACTTGTGGTAAGTACATGTTCTCTCCAGCATGAAGTAGTAGATAAAGAGCAGCAGGCTCTACTCTGGAGAACACTGTTTGATTCCCCACTCCTCCTCCACATGAAGCCAGCTGGGTGAGCTTGGGCCAGTCACCATTCTCTCAGAACTCTCTCAGCCCCACCTACCTCACAGGGTATCTGTTGTGGGGAGAGAAAGGGGAGGTGATTGTAAGCTGCTCCGAGACTCCTTTGGGTAGAGGAAAGTGGGGTATAAAAACAGCTCTTCTTCTTCATCATCATCATCACCACAGCCCTTCAGTTTGACCTACCCACAGTGGGAAACCCTCACATTTCCTTTCACTGTTTTCAAACAGATGAAAGGTTATACTGAGGAAGGGAACCTGTAACTACTCTGACATTTTTGAACAAAGTTTTCCTGAGCAGAGGATGTTGAGTATACTCAGTTCATACCTGGAAGACCACCATGCCCGGTGCTTCCCTAGTTCGAGTGAAACCCCTTGACAGTTGTGCCACAAGAAAAATTCAATAGCTTCTGCTGCCGAGTGAGGCTTGTTCTCAGTGCAGGCTTGTGGGGACAGGTTTTGCTCTAGTGCCAGCAGTTTACCACATGGCTCTATGCAGTTCTTTGCAGACCTTTCTAATACAGGCAGACACAACATGGGAAAATCTCACGGTTCCAGGTCAGTGTGTGCACGCTCTGAACTGAAGATAGAGCTAAAAGCTCTCATGCGACAGATAACCAGTCAAATGTGACACCTATCAGTGCTTTGCTTCTGTTGCATTTGATTGGGCAGCACGGAAGTGTTCGAAAACATGCACAAATATGCCCCTTTTAGTCCACAGGTTGACTTGGCCCAGACTGATCTTTTTTATTTATTTACCTTTCACCTAAACAGGGACCCAAAGCAGCTTACATCATTCTCCTCTCCTCTATTTTATTCTCACAACCCTGTGGGGTAGGTTAGGCTGAGAGTGTGGCCCAAGGTCACCCAGCAAGCTTCCATGGCACAAGTGGGGATTCAAACCCGGATTTCCCAGATCCTAGATTGACACTTTAACCACTACATCATGCTGGCATCTTATTTTAAAACAGTGCACTAGTACTGGAGCCCACAAGGCCAAGGATGGG